ACTGATGCCGAAAGAAATTTTACCATTTTCAGTTCTTGCCAAGTTTCAGAAAAAGAGTCTATTTTTTGGCGAAAAACGGCGATATTTAGCAAACAATTCAAATGTTGGATCGAAACAGTTCGTTTTTGTCGATTTCTTCGAAATTGACAAAAGAATATCAAAGATTTTGGCCTTTTTTGTGACATCCTCACCTTTAATAGTGACTCAACATCGATTCGAGAATCCAAGTTCAAATTTCAGCGAAAAGGACAATCAATATATGTTGACTTGTATATTTTTGATATTTTGCTGTAGACGTGTCCCCACTAGGCCAAGTACAGGCATCGCTCGACCTGGTCGTGGAATCCCACCTTGTTTACGCTACGACGGGTACCTCCTCTGCCACTGCCACTTTAGACGAGGATGTTTCCAAGCTAAAGGACATTCCCTTCATTTCGTTTCTGTACCTGACGTTGCAACACGAGTTGCCAACTTTTCCGTCCGCGGTCGTGCAATTTCATGGCCACCAAGAACGCATTGTGTTTGATACGATTACACATCAACAACAAGAGCATGGCGGCGGTGTCGTCGCGCACACCGGTCGGTTTGCCGATGGGACGTGGCCCACGACACTTTTACTGGAAGAAAGCTCGGCAGCAGCATCATCCAAGACGGCGGCGGTGCTGTTGTCTGTGGCAGTGGACGGCCACCATGTTGCGACCGCCGACATCCCCACGCACCCCATCAGTCGTCCACGGGTTCTTTCCCCCGTCGGCAATCAGACACACGTGGCCGTCCTTTGGAATGCGCAAGGTGTTGCCGTGGGGGAAGTGGGGTACGAATGCCCGACAGAGCCCTCACGAACTGACGCCACCAAACTGGCCCGTGGTGGGTACTCGCTGCAATTGGACGTGGTTTCAATCAAGGCGACTGCGGCCGCCGCGTGGCCAAGCGAGTCCGATGAGACGGTGGTGAACGTACAGTTCCCGCATCCGTTTTATACAGGACCGACAGGTACAAAGGATATATATATATATATATATATATATATTGAATTGTGGGTTGGTTGGTATGATCAGTCTCGATATGTTTTTCTTCGATGCGGGATCCGTAAGTTGGGTAGGATGGGAATATATATATATATATATATTTGTACCGATTGTCCGAATAAAATAGTTGATTGCAGCCATGTCGAGAAGCAATTTTGTCTTTGGTTGTCGCCACATTACCAGCATATGAACATACTATTGTCGCCATTTCATGGTCATCTTGAAAATAATATAGAATTTTTGTAACATGTCTACAAAAAAGGTAAGATAAAAAAAATATTATTGTTGGCGGACACGTCGATCATCCTTGTATATTTATAATAATTATTATTATTGAATGGAATATTTTGCAATATTTAGGACAATCAACTACCGTATTTGTCGTTGATGTGCACCATGAAATACAAAACGCGAATATAATTCTATAATTCAATACAATCTTGAATCAATTATACAATTCGAATATTTAAATATATTTTCTTCAAATTTAATTCCATGGTGCAAAGGTACGACAAATACAAGTTGCCAGCAGTAGAGTAGCGCCTGGGCAATATGATGTATTTGTTTTCAGTATTGAATTGTCCATTCGAGTATTTCATTCTATTAATTTCTTTTTTACCATACCCTCCCTGGCAGTACATAACGCTGGTCGGTTGTGTACGATAT